GATGGATGGATGGATGGATGGATGGATGGATGGATGGATGGATGGATAGATGAACCGTGAAAACATGGATGGGTAGATGGATGGATGGGTATATGCATGGGGGAAGAAGAGGGGCTAGCTTACGGGTCTATCAAGATCCCCAGCCGTGCACTTTCTGCCACACAACTGAAAAGAACTTGTGTCCCCTTTCCTCTTTCCAATCCCCATATAACAGGACTTCATCAAAATATAAGCAATCCCCATGCTAGTCTCCTCCCAGTAAGACAGACTTTAATGCCATCAAGAGATTGAAATGTAGGGTATGCAAAGGACCACTTTAGATGAATATATACACACAGAACTAGGCTGTATAGAATAAGGATGGGATCCTCCAAAGCACACTCACTTCCAGGAATAAATTAAGGACTGATATAATAGCCCTTGATTAGACTAATATAGAATTAGGTGAGGATTCTGCTTAATCTCTGATTTTGCCCACTCTCAGGTCACCGCCTCTGGAATGGGACCTTTGAAGAACACCCTCCCTTTGATGTGCCAGATGCCAAGGGCAGCTTCCTTCCCCTTGCCCTTGGAGGCTTCTACATGTTCCTTACAATGATCATCCTGCTCCAGGTAGGAAGACCTCCCTAGCCGGGGGCTCAAGAAGACCTGTGACCAATTCCTCCACAACTTTGTGAATAAAGAAGAAACAGTGCTGACCCCAAGAAAGGACTAACTGAACTAAGATGAGAAAATGGTCATTGCTTTCTTGTGAGTCTTTGAAAGTCCTCACATTAGGGGTAATGTCAGGACCAGCCCTACGTTGTGGAAGGAACCTTGCACCCAAGATAATAGTGAAGGAAAATATTTATCAGGCTTTTCTTTTTTTTTAATTTTTTTTAAGATTTTATTTATTTATTTGAGAGAGAGAATGAGATAGAGAGCATGAGAGGGGGGAGGGTCCGAGGGAGAAGCAGACTCCCTGCTGAGCAGGGAGTCCGATGCGGGACTCGATCCCGGGACTCCAGGATCATGACCTGAGCCGAAGGCAGCCACTCAACCAACTGAGCCACCCAGACGCCCAGGCTTTTCTATTTAAGAGTAAGATTATAGTAGTAATCTAAGTGTACCTGCCCCTTTGCCAGATGTAATAGAACAGGTTAAATCCTAACGACCTGGGAACAGAAGATAAAATAGCTCAGAGAACTACAGAGAACTGTCAAGCCCTAAGGATTGGGAGAAAGAAACCACAGGTTAGTGTTTTAGCATCTGATAGATTGAGAGGGAAAAACCACAACTGGCCCTATAGAGGAGAAAACACAAAACACAGAGCACCTACAAGAAAGGGGCAGTAAGGAATAAAAAGATGAATAAATTCTTCAGGCTCTGTAAGAAGGTACAGTCAATGAAAAGATGAGGGAAGCTGCAGTTTTGTTTTCATGAAGCTCCATTTACATTCAGTTTCTTGTAGTATTTGAGGGTGTTTTGTTGTCCTCTTACAGGTAAACTTTTTTCAGTCGTTAGTTCATTCATTCATTTAGCAGAGTAATCTTTTTTAAATGCGAGTTGGACCATACTCTTCCTCTGCACAGAACCCTCCAATGGTTTCACATCTGCTCAAAGAGAAATCCATAGTCCTTATGGCAGCGAACATGGCCCTACACGATCTGGACCCTGACTTCCCCACTGGCCTCATCTCCTAGCCGTCTCCTGCTCATTCATACAAGACCTGCTTACTCTTTCCCCTCAATTACCCAGCCCACTCCCACCCCAGTCTTTGCCCAGAATATTCTTCTTCCCACAGATAACTTCCTGGTTCACACCCTCATTTCTTCAGGTCTCTGCTCAAAGGTCATGGTTTATAAAAGAATCCCTTCCAGTCACCACCTTCTACCCTCTTGACTTTTCTTTTGCACTGCCTGATAAATATTTCTTTATTTGTTTAGTGGAATGTGAGGTCTTCAGAGCCAGGTATTTGTTCTGCTTGCTGCCATCACCAGGACCTAGCATAGGATCTGACACACAGCAAGCACTCAGAAGATATTAGGTATTGAATCAGAGACAGTAATCAACAATGGGTTTGAATACATATAAAAGTGAGCGACAGCCCTTGGTGGCATAGAGATCTGAGAGGCATCAGGAAATTCTGGACAGAGGCACTAGAGCTCCTCACCCCCTAACCACTCAGTCATTAGACAATCAATGGTGAGTGCGTACTCCGTACCAGACCTCCCTGGGTGAAGAAGGCACCTTTTTTCAGATGCCCCTAAGAATTCCAAGGGAGGCATAAAAAAAAAAAAAAAAAAAAAAAAAGAATTCCAAGGGAGGCATGAAGTCATTGACCTTCAGTTTCTCAGAGAAAATCCATCATGTGAGCTGACCTCAGCTTTCCATTAACTGCCTTTGCTACCCACTGGTGAGAGTTCTGAGACAGGGAACTGACCTGGTCTCTGACACTGTGGGAATCAATCTCCCCACAGGTGCTGATCCCAGTCTCCCTGTACGTGTCCATTGAGCTGGTGAAGCTTGGGCAAGTCTTCTTCCTGCACAATGACCTTGACCTGTATGATGAAGAGACCAATTTGTCCATTCAGTGTCGAGCCCTCAACATCACTGAGGACTTGGGCCAGATCCAGTATGTCTTCTCTGACAAGACGGGGACACTGACTGAGAACAAGATGGTCTTTCGGCGTTGCACTATCATGGGCAGCGAGTATTCTCACCAAGAAAATGGTACGAGGGTTCCCACGGTCCCTCACCACTCTTTCTAAATGAATCACCCTGCTGTCCTAAAAGAATGGTAATGAAAGACATTTTCCTGGCTCCCTACAGAGGTTTCTTGGCTCTGTGGCAGATTGCTTTCTATATCCCTGTGGGCTTCCTTTCCTAGATCAGTTGTGTTCTTATCACCTGTAAACTTTCCTTTGTTCGCAAGGCTATCAGTGATCTCCTGTATGGTAGCCCTCCAGTCGGTCTTTGGTGCCATTTACACACAGGATTGTTATCTGTTGGGAATGGACTGGGGACATGTCCAAATTATGTACCAGTTATACAGCCAAGGTTTAAAAATCTGGGGGGTTACTTTACCTGACATGTCAGGACAGGCCTCCCTGTAGATGTATGATCAGATTCAGTACATCCAGGAAAAGCCTTCCATGTTAGCTGACGGATCTTTTGGATTTTTACTGAGGCAGAGCTTTGACTTAGGAGGTATAGCTGAACAATGCCTGGACTGTCATCACACATGGACTGAAGGTGGCCTGTAAAGCTGACCTGATTTCCTCAGCAGCCCTCCACCATCACCACCACAAACACACCACACATGCTTTCTGAGAGAAGAAACTCTCAAGAGAGCAGCATTCATTCTTTTGAGTGGGAGGAATGGAGAAAAAGAAAGGGGGAGGTATTATGGGTAGCCCAATCACCTTTGCCGTGGTGGTAACCATTTACATGGGAGCTTCTGATCTCTTTTTAATAATAATAACAACTACCATGACCAGTATTAGAGTACATTAGTCACTGTGACACACTATTTTATCAAGTCTTCCAAACAACCCTATGAGTTAGGTAGGGGCACACGTTTAGTCAAAGCTCAGTCACAGAGCTAGGAAGTAGTAGAGTTGGATTTGAATCTGTGCAATTTAGTTGCACTCCTCTTTCTCCAGTCAAGGTAGTCCAGTTGCCCATGCTCCAGAGCAGCAAAGTGCTCTTACTCTGTGCTCTTTCCTCTACCCCTAGAGTCTGGGATCCTCTCAGACCGTGACTTGGCCAAGGGATGACTGGTGTAATAGCAGTACTCCTTTCTTGCAGCCAAGCGACTAGAGACCCCAAAGGAGCTTGACTCAGACAGTGAAGAATGGACCCAATACCAGTGCCTGTCCTTCCCAGCCCGATGGGCTCAGGGCCCAGCAACACTGAGGGGCCAAAGAAGGGCCCAGCCTCTGAGGAGGTGCCACAGTGCCCAGGTACCCATCCAGAGCCACTTCCAACAAAGGTCTGTGGGGCGCTGTGAAAGCTCACAGCCTCCTGTGGCCTTCAGCAGCTCCATAGTAAGTACCTGTCTTTTACTCTTCAAGTTGCAAGTGACCTCTTTTGGGGATAGATGGGAGGGGGCTCTGGGGTATGAAAGAGAAAAGACTAGAAATCCTGAAGAGCTCTCAAAATGGTAGCCCTTGGTCTTATACGCAATCTGCATTCTGTGTTTTATTAGGCATATACACTTCTTGTTCATTTTAAATGTTCAGTGTTTAGAAATTGGGAGATTTCATATAAACATATAGATTTCTGGCTTCTCTTTTTAAAAAGGAATTGGAAAATTTCTCCACACTAGCCAACATTTCCTTGTAGCAATAATTGGCTTGAATGATGGAGTTGATGCTCCTTAGACTGAGCATGTGGTCTTCTGTTCATCACAGACTGTCCGCCTCTCTGTTTACCCCCATCACTGAACTGAGAACCAGCAGCATGTCCATGATGCAAGCTTTTCCAAAATACAGTTAAAGGAAATAGTTGTCATGCCCATGTTTCTATAAGGTGCAAAAACAAGATGGGCCTTAAGACTTGCAGGCTTCAAGAGTAATGGAAGAATATACTTTTTTGTGATAATCAAAGAATCTTAAATAGTTATAAAGCAAAGAACATCTATGTCAAAATTACCCAGCATACTTAATTCTCTTAAATTAATTGCCTGGCCCCTATGGGGATTCAACCTTGCAACTTTGGTCTGGAGCTTTTTGCATATGGTTCCTTCACTTTTGATCCAATAGTACAGCTATCACTAAATCCCTGGCATGTAAAGAAATTTAGTTTCTTCCCCAAGATTACACAGCATTCCCTAGAAGGCAAGGCCAGAACTGGGGATTTCTGATTCCTGTCCCATTCTACTTTCCTCTGCACCATGTTCTTTCTCTAAGAAACATCATCTAGAATCTTCTGCACTTACAGAAAAGACCACAGGGAGCCCCAGCTATCTTGAACAAGACCCACATCTTAAAGGACGGAAATTCTCTTATCCCATTATTAGAAAATTAGATTTTCAAAATTATCCTCATAATGAATTTCCTTCCAATTTTTATTTTCTCCATTAATACACACATAACTACATATACTTAACATTTTTGCAGTCATAGTACCTACAAATTAAATGTGCGGGTTTTTTTTAATCTGAAATAATATCAAAAGCATTTGCCATATTGCTACATAGTTTTTATAACCCAAAATTGTGTTTTCTGATCGTGATGGAAAAGAAATGCTGTGAGTCTATGTGTTCTGGGTTATTACTTATTTAACTTCAGGTGAGTACAAAGTTAACTCTCTGATGTTACTACCACACAGAGAAATGCAACATTAGCAAGGATAAAACATTAGCCATGTGTTAAGATATATGACGCTCATAAACATACAAGAGGAATGATCCATAGATGCCTTTAGGAAGAATTTTTTTCTTTTTTCTCAGGTAACAGAACATGCATATTATTGCATCTTTCTCTTCATCAATTTAATTTTGTCCCCTCTGAATGTAATGCTCTTCCTCCAGCTCTTTACCTAAATATTTGAACAATGCATTTAGTGAATTCTCACCAGGCACAGATTCTAAGTCTTGCACTGCATGTGTCTTTTGGCACCTTCCAGTTCTGTATGCCACGGGCATCCCGTGTGCCTGAGAATGTCTCCCCCAAGACACAGAGAGGGAAACAGGAAGCTTTCTTTTATATATCTCAGTTGGAACACACAGATTCGCTCCCCCTTGTTCAGCCTGACAAATCTTAGTAGCCCAGGAAAACTGCAGCCCTGAGCCAGCCAGTGTAACTTTTATTCAGGGCCTATCTATCACTAGGGCCTACAGTTATCACCAGCTTTTCTAAAAGTTAAATACCATGATGTTTATGCTGACCTGCAAGGTCCCTTCCAGCTATAAATTAGGTACATTTGGGGTCAAATGCCCCAGGTTTTCATCTCAGCTCTTTCATCTGTTCTGCGACTTTGGTCAACTTACTGAGCTAGAACCTCAATGTCTTCATCTTTAAGAAGGATTATTGTTCTGTTTCATGAGTTTATTTTGAGGACTTAATTCTTAAAATCATGTGTTCTAAATAGACAACTCGTGGAAGTCTTAAGCAGTCTTTCTCAAGGAAAGCTGTCTGACTTGTACAAATGTTCATATCTGATGACATGGGAAATGGGAGTTTTCATAAAATGCAATGTCAAGCCCTCTCCCCTGAGGTTCTGGTATATTTGGTCTAGGGGAGGGCCTGAGCATTCATCTTTTTTATTTCTGATGATTCTAGTGAGCAACAAGATCAAGAACCTCTCTAAGAATAGCATTGCCCCACTAGGAAATAATCTTGATTTGGCTCAAATGTGCATCTTCTATAGCCTGGGAGGCATTGGCTGAAGGGCGTGATTTGGGCTGCCTTAAAGGACTCTGACACTAACCCATAAAATATCTGACTGGAGTGGCAGATCCTTGAATTAGTCCATAGGGAATATATGTGGCAGCCCCAGGTGGACCTCCTGGCTCCTGCCCCCACCCACTCTTGGCAGGCTCTCCAAGCTTGTGTCATCTTTCACCTGCCCATCTGGCATCCGGTCTGGTTGGATAATAATCTCTTGGCACCACCAGCTCTTTGCCTTCCCTTTGTAAATCAGTGAGAACTTGCCTCTAAAACCTCCACAATGCCAAGCCCTGGCAGAGCAAACACCCTACCACATTCTAAAGAAGCCGGTTGTTGGTTTCCTTGGAACTTTGCCCTAAACCCAAAACAAAATGAGCATCAAGGCTAACAGCAACACAAGCTGGCTTTTTTTCTTTTACTACGAAGAACAAGGAAGTATCGGTTAATGCCGCCTAATTGGCTGCTATAAAATCTGTGGCTTTAGGGTGGGGATAATACACTTAGGAAAGTGGTCAGTTGCAAGCCAGTGTTTAAGAGTACTGGCAGATGGAAAATGAAATGCCCCCCCCCTGCCCCGCCCTGGTATGTAAGAAGCCAAGATTTGAGCAGAGAGTCTTTGCTTAGAAGTACCACTTACAAAAGGTTTTCCAGAACCATCAGACCAAAGAATATCTTCCTAATCATAAAATTTGCATTGGGGCCACTTAGGCTCCTCCAGATGGCACCACCACTTCCTTCTGTAGGCATGGCCTCTCCCACCTGTCTGGAAAGAATGCAATAGAGAAAAGTAAAGGAGGTGTCTTTGGCCCTCTGCCTCCTTCCCTTAGTCTCTGTCTTCCTTCCTTTCTTTGAAAGAGATATGTGCAGCACTTCCAGTCTGCTCCAGACTGGTGAGGACAGCCCACAGATACGAACTCCCACTCGAAAGTTAGATAAGAGTCCTGATTTAATTAGCCAAGCACTCAAAATCTTTTTGGAAGTAATGTGACCACACAGGGCAGGAACAGATGAAGCCTGTACCAGCTACGGCCTCCCTTAACTTCCAGGGTACCAGAGGGTGGTACATAGCTGCAGTGACCCTGTTCACATGGGGTGGGGTCTTGCAAGACCTGGAAAACTCCCTTACTGCTAGGCCACTTAGTTTCTTTCCTTGGGGCTTCTGTCCCTTTTGGGAAAAGCTTATCTTAACAACCCACGTGCTTCTATTTAAGCAAATATTGGATTTGGACATTGGATCCTCCCAGTTCCTGAATGAAAGGCAGTGTCCTCTAGGTCACAACCTCAGCCTGGGCAAAATCATCACTCTCCTAAACCATAGTTCAGCCTCCAGCTCCCCAGCAACCAGGAAAGTTGTTTTCACGATAGTGATATAACCACATAATTAAGCGGTAGAAAGTAACTAAAGGTCAAATGATAAAAAATAAGTCTCCTTCCCTCCTCTTCTATTCCCCACAACCCCAGTGACAACCATTATTTGAATTTTCTTGTTTATGAGCCAGAGGTGTTTCACCTATATAGGAGCATACAAGTGTGGTATACATATGAGCACGTCCTTTACTGCAAACATTAGCATGCCCTGCACGTTGTTGTAGACTTTGTTTTTCTTTTTACCTAGTGAATCTGAGGGAATATTTCATAGATGTAGACAGATACTCAATGGAGAGCTGCCTCATCTTTTCTTTTTAATGATGTTTGAGCCATTGTCTGTTTATACATGTGTATTTTTCTATAGTATTCACTCTTCAAGCATAATTGCTAAATTGTATGTATCTTTTTTATTTTGACTGATACTTCCCAAGAGGTTGTATTAGTTCAGACACTCACCAACAGCAAATAGAAGGATCTGCTTCTGTCCACTTCTGCCAATTCTGTGTATCTACTCAGTATCTACATTTCTTTGGAAGAGCCTGTCATTTATTGTCAAACATCAAGTAAGCATCCACAGTATGGCATATACTGTTCTAAACACTGGGATACAAGGTTTAGTAGGGGCTTGTCCCTGATAAACCCAAAAGAGAGGAGAGAAGAAGACTAGTGCCTATAGAACACTCCTCTTGGTGCAGAGGGCAGAGGTGCTGTAGGAGCATCAGATGGGGCATCAGATGAGGCCTCCAGAGGGCTGCCTGGAAGGGTTAGCACCTGAGCTGAATTCGAGACAAAATTAAAAGTTAACCAGAGCAAAGAGAAGACCATCTAGTGGGGAGAGGTGAGGAATGCAAGTGACATGAAAAACGGGTTTTGAGGAACAGCTGGAATAAAAGATGCAGGTTGGACAGAGGTTGAGGAGATGGAGACCTGGGAAGAAACAAGTCACAAAGACTTTTCTTCCAGGCTAGGCACCAGGGTTCCTGTTTAATTCCACTGTTGGCTCTGTGGATTCCTAATAGCAGCAAACTGCTATACCCAATGAGTGATAGTTGTCAATGTGAACTTGAGTGAGTTATCATTAAAACTGAGAAGAGAGTAGTAGACTAGATGTTGGCCTGCTTTCCCTAGCCTTCAGTGTGGGACATACCACAACCATGTAGCACACAGTGGCCGTATAAATTCTCACTACTCAAACTGGGGTCCTGGGACCAGCACTATGAGCATACTTGGGAACTTGTAGAAATGCAGATGCTCAGGCCCCACTTCCAAATCACTGAATGAGCATC